TCACTATCAGCTGAACAGCTGGTGGTAGCATAGATGTAAAACACAATCAATTTGTATAAACAATATTCTGATTTGATCACACACAACTTCTCTGTCTTGAAGTCTTAGTTTGTTCTCGTAGATTTAAAACGACTGATTCTTTCAGAAACCTTTGATTCAACAAGGCCACACCAGATGTTGCACTGAACACCTAATGGCTCTATTCAGCTAATTATAGAAGCATTCTGGGAGCATGTGTGCAGCAGCACCACGACCGTGGAGTGGTTATTCAAACAGCGCTTGTTCCATGCAGGTCCTTTTATCTCACAAAGAGCCCAAAGAGTGGCCAGATTGCCTGGCTGCGTACTTAGCAGTGAATGGGAGCCCATTCTCGCTCAGCCTCAATCGTGTTACAGTATGCTCCTTCGGTCTAACACAGCTAAATTCAGCGCCGGACTCAAACCACCCTTCTGCTCTTATTAAAATGACTCATGACTGTGTTTAACGAGCCGTCGCTTTGGTGCTGTGACACTGACATTTTCAGAAAGGGATGGAGAAAAATGCTGTGCGGTGTCAAAAGTGACATCTCGGCTGAGGGGGGGAAAAAGTGCATGTTCAGACCTCCACGGTACTGTAAAATACTGAGGTGGGGACCGAGTTTCCAAACCCTCCTGGGTCACAAGCAGCTGCCCTGAGCCAGCTATATTTCCACTTTAGCCATTACTAGAAGCATTTTGGCTCTGCTGAAAATCTGTCATCAGGTTGGAGAACTCTGCACTGTACGTTTAATTGCACATAGTAATGCTTTGATGACATCACAGGGAGATAAAATCTTAATATGAGAACATAATTGTCCTTATTTATAGGCTTACAAACACTGCAATTTTTATGGTGCAAGCAATCTCCATGTTTGTAAAATAGCGATTTTTATATTCAGTGTTTTTCTGGGGAGAAATACAATATAAGTCTTTGCCATGAGAAAATTAAAATACCCGCATTGCAAAACTCCCATTAACATCACCCACCCTCCAAAAATAATTTCTGTGCAGTGTCTAAACTACAAAGAAACTGTTATAAGGACATGTTGTCATGCGTCCGTGCCAGCCTTCACTATTGTTCGACTATTTAAAATTCCATGAAACTGCGGGATAATGTCAGATAATTGTTATGCGAGCCAAGCTTCCACTGTGGCCTCCACAGAATAATCGAGCTGCGTCTGTTCTCCATATCAACAGATGGACACACAGACAGTAAGCAAACAGCGCATACCGATGAAGAGCTCAGCTCTCGGCTTCACCCCCTCCAGGAACTGAGGAGTAATCACCATATTTGGATGGCCTCAAATCCTCGGGTGCGACTGAAGATTTGTAATTGGAGCTGAATGCTTGGAAACCGGCTTCTCCCACGAGAGGGATTTAGCATGCCCGACACCAGCCAACGTGGTGGCATTTTGACAAGTATGGGTGGGGTTCACGTCACGGACAAGCCATCTGTCATAGCTGCCTGTGTCACACAATAACACAGATAGCCTCCAGAGCCAGAGTCTCAAGTCTGGAGGGCCTCTCTGTCTCTGCGTGTGTCTTGGAAGCAGGACGACTCCTGCCAGCTTTGTTTTCTGGTCACCGCGTTATTTTTTGCTTCCTTCCTGTCTACAGCTGCCTCGGTCTGATTGAAGGTTCCTTTATGGGATGAGACCTTAAAGTCTGATCTGCTGTCTGTCTGTCTGTTTCAGCAAAAGGTTGGATTGCTGACATGTAAACTGTACCGCGACAAGCTTTAATATCTTTATTGAAGATTTTCTTTTTAAATTTAGCTGCTGTTTTGATGATGCTCCAGAGATGACTTCATATAATAAAACAGCTTTCACTGGCATTGATTCATTCATCAGGTTTTCTAGAGTTTGGTGTCTATTCGTGTAAAATTGGTTTGGAAGTAATCATTTGAATATGCATACATTTATAAAGGGCAAAAGCCACATACTTCTATTGCACAGTAAATTTTCTTTCCAAAAATGGACTGCTTTCTTATCTGAAAGAAATACCTAGACTGTTTGTCCGTGGGTAGAGCATGGTACCAACATTGTGAGGACTAAAAGCTCTCCTGCCACAGCAGCTACACAAGTTAAAAATGTATGTACACATGATCCTGCGGGGTACTTTGTATAAAAGCATCCAGCTAGTAGGCTCTTGTATTCTGGTCAAAAAAAGGAAAAAATGACAGTGACTAAAAGCTCACAACACAACGTGAAACTCTTGGGAATGAAAACTAATATTCCAGCATAAAACATTTTATTTCACATTTTCCGTGAGCTTCTCTCCCATTCACTGTTTCTGAAGTGCTAGTAGCCCTTCAAGCAGCGCTGTTGCACTCTCACAACTTTACTTTGAGGCAATTACAGCCCAGCATCTGCTTCTCCCTCTCAGGCCTCACTCCCATCCAAAGGATCAGCACAATGTGGCTCATCTGCGACGACTCGCACCGGTTTCAGTCTCATTGTGTCCCAGCTTGTATCCGTCTCTGAGCTCTTTCCTCTCAACCCTCAATGGTTTGTCCAAAACCATCTAACATGATACAGTAAGAGCCACGACAGTTATAAATTA